TCCACCGTCCCGTCCGGGATTTGAACTCCGGACCCATCGCATGGAAGGCGTGTACGTTACCACTGTGGTATTACTATAAGTCATTGTTTATTGAAGGGACAGCGTGCCCTGGTTTGCTCAAACATATCAGCGGTTGTACAAAATCACATTTTCATTTTCGTGAATCCCATCTCTACTTTGATTATCTCTTTGTTCACACACAAACAACACATGTCAATCCGTAGCCAGGAACCCGATACAGTGTACCGGATATCACAGAGCANCTGACCCCGGAAGAATTGGCCACGCTCAGCCAGGATGCGCATGCCAAACAGGCCGAGGATTTGGCCAGGAAACAGCAAGGGGAAATAGTGATCCGATTGCATGATTTGATGGTAAGTGTACTTCCGTACTCAGCCAATCTGATACACGCATACAGGTGTTTACCAAACTCAAGCAACCTTACTCTCATTTTGGAAATACATTTCAGTCTCCAATATCATACTTGTCTAATGGTGGTTATGAGTTCAGTGTATTTATTTCTGATTTTACCTCCCACATCCATGTTCTTAGTTCTCTCCTACCACGTTTGAATTTGTGTGACCTTGAGTGTAGCCATCAAATTTGTAGTAGTTTAAAAGTTACAGCTGAGATTTCGAAAACATTTTACGCAAAGCAGCATGGAGGAATTCATTCTTTTTAATAAATGATTCCTATTCCAAGAGGATGTTTATTAAATTGAGCAAACCTATTCTAAATTGCTCATCTCTTCTTATCCAGTGCACAGTAAATAAGCAAACTAATGAAACTATTCTAACTCAAATAAATTAATAAATTAATCGGCTACAAACTAAGCACGCGTTATCCACAATACTGAAAGAACTGAAAACATAGTCCAAGAAACCTGTCAGACTTAATTAAATATAATGTTTTCACATTTTTGCAATTTCTGGAGGGGGTCAAGTTCTATGTCAAATTCATTCAGTTACCGCGCAGCAGCTGGGATTTTAATTTAATTGAAAACATTTCCCTCTATCAGAAACCGGGATAAGTTAGCTACCTCGGCATTGGTCGTCAGTGGTTGAGGTGTGCTGCGTATTAGAGAAAACTTCCAAATTCTGTTTGGCAGTCAACTTGGTGGACTTCATGCTAAAGCGACTGCCTCCAGAGCTCAAAAATGAAGAAGGACAACCTGAACGTGGACGATACTTGTATGAAGTCTATGAGTCATTTTAATAAATAAATTCTATCTACTTTTTGTACCGTGATTTTCTTATTTTACAACTGATGCACAAGCAACTATCGTCAAGATTGCGAACTCGTACATTTCAATGGCATGTGCCTAAAAGAAGCAAAGACATAAGTCGGTATTATATTAGTTATGTCGCCTATGATTTTGGGCAATATCGTGTTCAATCCCATGAATGAGGCTGGCAAAAACGAAGCATTGAGAGGAACAAATGTGATGAAAATGTAAGGATGTTATACGAGTTTGCTCAATACCTGTACACAAAACCCCCAAATATGTGCCTACCATAGAAGCTGTTCGCGCGTTGCAAATGACTCCTCCTTCATAATCCCAGCCTCCTATTGACCCAGACTGGGTACGAAACCCTCTTGGATGCTCAAAACAAGTAAGCAGAAATCTCGAAAGAGGGTAGTCCAACGGGAAATTAAAATATTTGTTTCGCGATTCATTCGTTTTCAATGTCACTCAATCAATCACCAGATAATTAAAGCGAACATTAACTTTAATGCTGACAATCAGTTCTAAGAAAATCATCATAATATACACGATACCTTTTATACGGAATAGACTTCCCGTGACTTGTGTTCACATGGAGGATTTTTTAAGGCAAACCATTTGTAAGAACACTTTGTAATAATGAGTTTTCAGAACGTCGCAAATAAATTAAAATGAGAGCCTACCTTGCAAACAATGAAGCAGGATTATTAAAGTTTTTCATTAATTTAAATTCAACTGTGAATGCAGAAAGGCTAATTATTCATCTCTTTAGGAAACCAAATCTTTGATCTGGCCTTATTCAAGTGCACTCCAGACCGGAAACCAATCCACATAAATGAAATAAATATATCTCTTTTTTCTTTATTGATAGAATCACTTCTAAAACCAAGAGAAAATAAAACCCTATAGGAATTTATTAATGATAATGATTGTGAAAGTACGCCCTCCCTCCCTCCTCCTCCTCATGTGTCTGTTTCAAGATCTGTTGATTGTCAAGACGCTCATACATTTACTCCTTTTATTTTTTGCTTCCAGGACTGGTGTAATCAAAACGTCATCCTTATCATCATCATTCTGCTCAACAGTACACTTGTTTATTTTTTCTATTGGCTCACTCACGAGCCGGACAACAGCTGATCAGCCAAAAATTGGTGCCCACAGTT